AACTGATTATTTTAAAGGCAATATGGCGTTGACAACAGTTCTAAATTTCTTTATATAGACAAAAGTAGAAGTAAATCAATAATTATGCAATAAGGATATTGAATAATCCAATACTCTCAAGCCAAAAGACGACAGTTTGCATGTCAATTGACTTTAGCTTTCAATCATAGATTCCCTATGTACTTCGTTCTTTCAATTAATTTTATCAGACATACATTATCATCATCATAAGATCGTCAGTTCTAAGACTGGTTGGACACGCACCTCCACTCTTTCCTATCCTGAGTTAATTTTCGCATTTCCCTAAAACTATAACATCCCACATCCTTCATTATTTGTGAACAGCAATCTAATCTAGGTCTACCACTACTCCTCCTAACTCCTGTTTCTGCCTCTAATATGTCTCTGACTAGATCTTCATGCCTGGGAAGGTATCCTACCAACCTATCTCGCCTATTTCTTATTGACTTCCATAGAGTCCTCTGTTCTCCTATTCTTTCTAATGCCTCCTCATTCTAACCTTCTTTATCCACAGAATCCTAATCATTCTCCTGTAACACTATACTGCCAACGCTTCTAATCTTTTTTAGCCGTTCGTGAGCATAGAAGTAACTTCTTTTTATTGAAGGCGACTCGACCCTGCGTTCCTTCCGTCCTGACTTCCTAGATACCTAAAATCAGTCACTTCTTCTGATTTTTTGTCTCCTATCTTTATATACACTGTCCTCCCTTATAAACCAGTATTTTACACACGTCAAAGGGGGCATTTTTTTTTCGATCGATTCAGTATCCTTTGATGTGCGATACAGTTACAAACCAATGAGTTATTTGACTTTGATGTATCCCATTTGGCTAAGTGCCAAAGGGGTACTCTAGTATAAATATTGATCCATATGTTACTATTAAATCGATATCAATTTCTCCATCTGCGTATATGAACTCTTTTGCTGCATACATACAAGCGTAATGATAGAGGCACATGAGCTAGAAATACATAAAATAGTAGCAGCGACGAACGTTAACTCAAATAGGAGACTTCGAGCTAGAGATATAAAATTACCAATCACGTTCCGTCTTACTTCTCGGAATCCGCAGGGATACAAGAAACGTTAGCACACGCGAGAAAATACGCTGTGTCCGTGGCGACACTATAGAAAACATGAACACATCGGAGAACAAAAGGGCCTTAAAGAAAAGTAATGCGTAGATGAAATCATAGACGGCATCGTCACGCCACAGTCAAGTCGGTCTCTCGACAGGTAGAACCGTTTCCCAGAAGAACTAACAGAAGATACTGCAGCATCGGCTCAATCTTGAGATTAACTTCTAACCATAAAGCACGATAAGAGAGGATATTCCATTCTATTCTATTCTATTCTATTCCAACAATCCAAGCTTTTTAGGAACGTCATAAACTAAATATAAAAATACGTATCAGATATCCAGTGGTTGCAAGATGAAGTGTAACCGAGGAGCTTTATGATCATAGAGGTTAGAGTTCTTCTTATTTACTTTTAAGGATTTCTGATATTAATGCAAGAACATTTTAACTTGATAATTAAAGTTTACAACACCTACACTCATTTGATCTTACCTAGAATTGTACACAGAAAGATGGACAAATAAAGGTAGAAGACGAAGAATTCGTGACTTACATTCGGAATCTAGGAAGTCAGATAACTCAAGATGGAAGGAGCAGTAGAGAGATATAAATACTGAGGATACCGTGGATAGAGAAGGTTAGAAATGAAGAAGTATTAGAAAGATTAGGAGAAAGGAGAACTCTATGGAAGTCAATAAGAAATAGGTGAGAGAGGTTGGTGACATCTTCTCAAACATGAAGGGGGGCTAGTCAGAGACATATTAGAAATAGTTAAGGGTGTGGGATGTTCTAGTTTTAGGGAAATGCGAAGATTAGCTCAGGATAGGAAAGAGTGGAGGTACGTGTCCAATCAGTCTTAGGGCTGATGACCCTATGATGATGACACTTACTTGATTTAGTAGTCTCTTGGTTTCTAGAAACATACAAGACTACTACAACGACAGAAAGAAAAATTATTGTCAATCCGGCTCTGTCACAAATGAAAACAGTTTCTCATCCAAGAGCATTGATAAAAAGGGTTGCAGTGGGGTTATTAGCGAATAGAAATAAGTACGTTGAACTTGAGTTATTCAACAACCGCGAAAGCAAAAGGAAAAAAGAGGAAATGATAAAAATTAAAAAGAGAATTAGCTTCGTAGCCGTTTGGAATCCGTTTGTAGCGTGGCGGTAACAATGCAAACTATCCACTGCGATAGGTTAGCGCTGGCACACTTAATAATTTAATTTGCAGTAAATTGCTTCACTATACTTTCGTAATAACACGTCTCAGTGCTTAAGAATGTTAGCAAACTGGACAAACAAAGTGAATAAATCTCCGCGCGCGCCGCGGCATTTCAATTTCAAATTTCATTCTCTCACTCGGACATGTTAAGAGAAAATTGCGAAAAATAAACAACACACAACACATCGACATATTTTACTTACTAAAACAATCTACTCCTATGCATTTACGTTCACTCTACGTTTGTATCTAATACAATGACACATTCGTATTGAATTTATTGCGTGTACGGTTTTAGTAAAAATTAACTCCATAAACTTGTAAACTATTCCACGAATTAGATAATGTATAGTCGGCGATGAAGACAATAGAGTCTATTCATTTTAGATTCACAGATGAGTAAAAGAATTTACATAAATATCGAGAGATAATTTAGGATCTATGGATCATGACCTTGGATTTGGTGTGGCGGCTCATATTGCTGTCATCAAGGATAGAATTGAGTGAGCAACGTTAGAATTAGGATCTGGCTCAATGTGAAACGGTAAATCTCAAAAGAGTATGGTATGGAGGGAAGAGAAGTGATAGAGCTAATATAAAGATCAAGGAAGGAATTAAGGGTGCAAAGGACCGGCGTCAATGTGAATCTGTATTAACAAAAGAGTATGGCATGAGAATTTAGAGAAATAAGTCGCATCTAACTAAAAGAAGTAACTTCCATGCTCATGAACGGTTACTTCAGAAAGTCGAAGAAGGTATCCCTATGTATATATGGAGCACAACTTTGTACGGATGTGAAACGTGAACAGGGGACGCAGAAAAAGTAGGTTGAAATTTGATGCTACAAGATGAAGATCCCAAGAATAGGTAAGTAGAGAATGAGGAGGTATCAGAAAGAGTAGGAAAAAAGAGGGCTCTATAGACGTCAATAATAAATAGGCATAAAGGGCTAGTAAGAAACATATCAGCAGTAGAATCAGGGTTTAAGGGAAGCTTGGATAGACCTAGATGTTCCAGTTTTACAGAAACGTGAAGATCGTCTGAGGATAAGAAAGAATGGTCACTGAGCGGCATGACCTAGAAGTTTAGATCATTGCTTAGCATTCGGGAGGACGCCGGTTCGATTCCCGTCCATCTGCCATGGCCCATGTTTTTCTGTGGTTTCCTTGGATCACTTAAGGCAAATACTGGGGCAGTAATATTCCACAGGTAATCTTTCATTCTCTTCTGTCTTCATTTCTTCCATCTCATCTTTCTCACCTGAACCACCAACCACTCATTACCACGATTCCTGAAAGGAGGCTGAAGAGGGCCTTCCTCCCTTAGTGGCTGGTGGGAATGAAACACACAAAACTATTTTTTTTTAAGAGTGGAAGTGCGTGTCCAACAAATTCGTCCCCATGATGAGGATGCGTATTTGCCAAACATCTCTACAATGTTATGTCTTATGAAAAATAGTTCTATTGATGATGTTACATGCAATATTACGTTTTTCTCATTTTTAACGCTCCATTTCAGTAGAAGCGACAATATGTCAAGTGTCATTTAGTTCAAATTCAACGGAAAGGTCGTCAACCTACGAGACAAATCATTGTCTTTTCAACGCATTTTATTTATGATAGACCGGACGCTATTTCTATCTTTATTCAGGTGTTAAACATGCGTGTGCACTTTCATAGACGACGAGATACTGCCTACACCCACGTCCTGTCTTACACGTATCTGTTCAAATAAATTTGCCGTATATTATGTTAATTTATTGCGAAGTTTGCAAAAGGTGCATTTAAATCCCATACCAAGATTATCAACGTTTACATGGACACATCCACTAAAGTATAACTATATTTTTGTCTACGTTTATGCTTCTTTAACGTAAAAAAGTTTTGCTTCAACATGAGCAATTTGTCATCGAAATATTTTCATCTAAAATTATATGATAGGTACTATGTCAACCATCAAATAAAGAAAAGAGTCGCACTCTACCCATCACTACTCCACTTTACTCCACTAAAGGATTTATAGTTTATCTTAATACTTATTTTGTTGTTGTTAAACCACTTTCGCTCAAACTTAAGCAATACTTCAACTCCAACAAACAACAAGTGAGTCGAGTTACTTTTTACCTGTCAAAACAAGTGGAAAACTGAGGAACCTGCTCTAAAAGATATTTACAATAATATTCTCTATATTTAGCAGGTCTAACACAAAAAGGTTTTAGGTATTTGAATGTAAACAATTTGCTGTTACCTATTTGATCACCCTTGTGGGGTGGGTCCCCTTTATCTATCAGAATCCACGACCTCAAGACCGGAAGTAGTTAAAACATTTTTATATTTTATAAATTTTGAAAGACTCACCTCTTTAAGTCCATCCAGTCTGCCCAAACTCCTGGCCTGTCGCAATCCTGACTCCACAATCTTTCGCCCCTTTCGTCTTCGCTCAAGAATCCTGGGCTTCCTCGGAGTAAGGGTGTCGTTATCCTCGGGATCCGAATGCACTTCAGGACAATGGTACGTATGCCGTCTTCTAGCGTTCGGACTCGTAATGCGCGTTATCAAATTGTCAAACATTTTCATTACGACGAAATTTCGTAGGCAATAGAAACTGCAAACGCGACTGTAACACAATTAATTACAAGCGAAACGGTTTACTGGCACGTCATTTCCGATGTCGTTATTATCAGACACAAAATTACTAATTGGAAGAAACATGTCGTAGCACAAAGAACCCGTGAGGAAAAAAAAAAGAGAGTAAGTGTGAAAGCTCAAAGCACAGTTTATCAAATGTTACGTTACACTGACTGACCCGACTATAATAGATGCTGTTTGTCTCGTCGAAGAATGGAGTGTTTGGCCAATGAATTAACGAAATCTCACTCGCGTTCGCGCAAGGCTCCTTCCTCGGCTGCTTCAGCTGTTGTTTGAACTGCGATTATGGCAGACGAAAGGAGAGAACACAACGTTGTGTGTTTGTTATGATTGTGCCTCTATTTGTTGTGTAGATGGCAATTATCGGTTTTTTACGACGATCTAACTTTATAAGCAGCTTCTTCTCCTTCTTTCCACATGGACACCAGTCGTTTCGTCAAATTTACCTGCGAACAACAGAAAAACAGATGTAAATTACGTGTGCCAGTAAAATTACTACTATACACATCATGTAGGTATTTGTTACGGTAACTTGTAAATTTAACTTCCACACATACATCAGTGGCTAGTTGAGAACCAAACATGGGGATACTCTATTGCATGCTACCATCAAATGGAGGCATCATCTCTTGAAAAATATAATGTTGTTCATAAGAAACATCTTCAGACACGCTTTCATATAAATAATAAAATAATATAAGTTCACTAATTGGAATTTAAAGTTTTTGAGGGGTGTTACTCTTTGACCAAAAGATTTCGAAAGTTCGTTTAGTTTAATACAGTTTTCAGAGAAACGGGGAATATTTTTAGATAGACGTGGTTGAAAAAATATATTAGACAGGTTCACCAACTTCTACATTCTCGTTTGTGTGATATAAAAATGTAAAATGCTGACAAAGAAATGCGCAACTCCTAATACGAGGGTCGATTGATAAGTTTCCGGCCTGACCAAGAAAAACAAGGTTTTTAAAAATTTTTTTTTTTTATTTCTCAACATAATCTCCTCCAAGGCTGATACATTTCTCATAGCGGTGTTCCAGTCTATTAATGCCATCTCTATAGACTGATTCGTCAAGCTCCTCA